TCATATCGAAGCATTTGCTAATTAGAGTGCTAGCGATGCTCTTCTTCAAGCAATATGCATGGTTCAAAAGGAACAACAGGAATTTATTGGTATGCGCTGGCTTGTGAAACACTCCAGTGATATACTTTTCCCTTTTCTCCTGATGAGTGCGTCCTTCGTATCTGTAATATGTCACTGAGTGACTCACCAAATGCCGATTGTGGCGACAGGTTAATGTTGTTTTTCTTGCTTCCTAAATTTCGACTTTGCTGCTCGTTTAACACGGTTATCCTTGGATAACTACCGCCTTCCGGTACGCAGTAAAGATGTTGCTTTTCTGCTCGATACGAAGTCTTAGAACAGATAGTGGGCTCGATTATAGCACATTTAGCAACTCCAATTTGTCATCTAAGGATTTAGAGGCAAAACTGAAAGGAAGTAATGAGGTAAAAATTAAATAGAGTCCGAATTGAATTACTGTGCGGTACGCCGGCGTTTCAGCCGGTCATTGAGTACATGACACTTGTCACAGCTGTGATAAGACCAAGCACTATGTACAAATGTATGGAGCACTATTTGATTATATGGCTTCACGAATGTTTAGAGAATATCTGAGTAACATTCACCAGGATATCCACTTCACCGAAGAAGTTGAATATGGCTGAAATCTTCCTTAACAGCATATTTCATAAAGAAAGGGGAACACATGGAATCATTGTTTTAAGAAACTGACGCATACTTGAGACTCTCTTTAATTTGGTTTTCATAGCGCGGCATTCCTGAAAGCAGAGTGCTCCAGAATTTTATGCCTAAGAAAAGTAAGGCTATGCGTCGATTCTAATTCATCTTAGAATATTTTAATCGATGAATCGAATCAGCCCAGAAAATTTTATTCAAGAACCGTTTAGCAAAATCGACATTATGTTGAACGGAGGCAATGTTCAGCGTGAAATAAACGCTACAGAAGATTTGAAAAGCCGTCATCCTACGACGATTCCATTTTTAAATAAGTTAGGAAAAAGATAAGATTTTTTAATTACATCCGGCATTAACGCTGTTTACAACTCGACATACAAACTAGGGTCTCCTTTATAAGAAAGATTTTATCAAAATGAATATTGCATTCCGCATGAACTGCAGCTGTCGAGGCACCTGTATTGGAGAACCCAACTCTGGCAAGATTCGTGATCACATGGCTTGCCTCAACGGTGCAGTTGAATAGAACTCCGCCGTAGCAAAGCATGTTATTCTGAAGAGTCAAGTCGTCAAATGGAATTCCACCAGAATAGTCCACAAAAAAACCAGCTAAACAAACAAAATGACAGAATGCAGTCATAAGAAGCCTAAAACGAGCAAGATGAACAAGCGTGAAGGCGCCCTTGCGAAAATTTTATCTTGATTTGCATTGTTATTTTATTATTCTGCTTAATAATTTTTGCATTTTTTCCTATTGTTCCATCTCAGTACGTTAATATTTTACCTATAACCTTCAGTTTCGTACATTTCATAACCTTTTAAATGAAGCGACGTACCTCGTATTTAAGTTCACATTCGAAATGGGGAGTGGCAATGCCAAGATTATTCTACTCCACATGTGATTACTCGTTGCAAATACAGGATCGTTGTGAGTCTTGCTTCTGATTTCGATCTGTCTATAAACAGTAAAAGAAAACATCTATAAAGTCATAAATTTTTGTATATCTTAATTCATTACTTAGATCACGGGAAACTTTTTGGAAGACATACTTTTCACTCTGGGAGTACTAAAAGCCTCTTTAAATTTAAATTGATTTTTACATATGTATTAGTTAAAACACGATTTCGTTTGCTGGAGTATGATATTTGGTATATAACTAACAAATTTCGCATCATGTATGGCCACTTGCTTGCTTTTAGACACTTAGGGTGTCATTTAATCGCTCCAAGACCCTATGATTTTTTTCACAACCTGCAGTGCTGATGCATCTCGCGTCATTCTTTTCGTTACAGCAGCCTCATGGGCATCATGTACAATATTTCAGGAGCGTTTGCTCTTCATTTTCTGCTGCATAGGCTGATGGCGGTACTCCTTATGGCACCGCAGGTGCTCGGATGCTGTTGTGCCGTAATCTGTCAAATCTTCCCATAGGACACTGAGAAGAGGGCGATGCAGTGCGCTGTGAAGTCTGGTCTTGGAGGGTTTACGCACAAAGTTTGTTATAGTGGTGACATCCGCATTTTAAACTTCGAAACGCTGTATGTGACATTCCGTTTTTACTCAGTTTGGATGGATTTATTTTAGTTATCTGTAAAGGTATAACAAGCGTTCTGCTTTTCACAGTGTAAAATGACAAGAATCTAAAACTGTTTCAGTACATGATAAAGAGTGACAAAAAATGGTCATGAATCATTTTTTGCGACATCAATTTTCGTCTCTCTGCCATCTGCTCTTACTAAGACAGTTTTTGCGTGGTAGTGCGCCTAATATTGTTTGTCTTTCGGTGAAGTGGTGCTCGGTCCGGATTCGAACTCGTGATCTGCTGATTACTAATTTAGTACTTTGTCAGTTGAGTTGCGTTGAACAGCAGGCAAGCTGATGTTTCACTTATTCAATAATTTTTCTGTTCTTTTAAAGTCGAGTGAGTTTACTGCTTGAACAAGGTTACCCAACAATTCTGATTCTCAGAAGCGAAAAAAAACGAAATTTATTAATCACAAGAAATAATGCGAAAAATTATAGCAACCTAGTAACTGGCAGGAAATGGTAGAAACAGGATCTAATTGCTAAGTTTCTGATGAACTTTTCAGAATCGTACTCTTGAATTGATAACTGAACTGGTATCCTGTGCATGCGAAATGTGCAGCGCGGCAGATGACCCGCAATTTCAAGATAGCAATGACGCAGTCATGCAATGAACATGTGCTTCTCGACCAAACATAGGATTTGTCGCGGCATGGCTTTTTCGGTTGACTGCATGCCTGTTCAGTGGGGTGGGTGTTTGCCACGTCACTATACATTAATCAGGCTTTGAGATGTTTCTCAATTATCCTTAACATTGTTTAAATCGTTCCTTTCTATACCTAGACTACCGTATCGTTTACCGCAGCGGCTTACTTGTAGAATTTCCGCGCAGCGACAGCAGCCGATCCTGACAGATTTCACGTTTATTTTTTCCGCATTCTCTTTGCACGTGCCTCGGGAAGTTTTATCCGTTGTTTCAGTGCTCATAAATCCATTATCTGCTCATTAATCCCATAAATCCATAATCCATTAAAATTCAGAACTGCTCTTGAGCAGAAATTTACTGCCGAATTGTTTTAAACACAGCCTTGCACCTTAGAGTATATGATGCTTCTTCCAGACGAAGTTTCACGATAACGAGACGCTGGTTTGAAACTGTAATTCATTAATAGTTTATTGAAGTCAGTGTTTATTTTTCAGTTTTGAAGCTCGCTCTCCCCTTTGGGTGCGTGACGGCTGTTCCAGAAAACTTTTCCAGTGTTTCCAATTCGCTTCCATGCGGCCAACATCAGTTGACTGGATTCAGAGATGCAATATTTCGCATTTACTATTTAAATACTTTAAAACGGATCGACGACTACGATATCGCATCCAATCATGAGCAAGATCCACAGCGGTCTTGCACCTCACTATAGTAATTGGGTAGGTCAGACTTGCTGTAGTCGTCCCCCTTTTCATTTTGGCCATTTGGATAACGAACCGTATTAGTACGGGGTTTGTGCGTAAATTTTCGAGAACGGCAGAAAAGGGGATTTATTTCGGCATAATTCAAGCTGCGAACCTGGCTCGAATAAGGCCAGCCATCCAAATAGTAATTAACCACAGGCTTAACCTCTCTATGTAACCCTTAGGTAGTTTGCCACAATGAGATGCAATATCCTTCCGAATTGAGCAGTAGTGACGAATTGATTTATCCGTTTAAATTTTTCGAATACGAAAGCATGGATTTAAGTAAATTATTTCAAAATGCGAAATCTAACTTCACACCTCCAGCGTCTTTATCTGGGAAGCACGTGGTTACTGTAATACGCAGTGCTGGCACTTTCAGACGGTAATCGATTAACCATATTTCGTTTTTATTTTTACCTGCACGCTATTTATTCAGTGGTTTTAGAGATTTGCTGAAGCGATTAACATGTCTCCGAAGTGGCTGAACTATTTCGGGCTGTTCATCGTAACGAAGAGCAGCAGT